CATCTTTAATTTATAATTTATTGTTTAATATGATTTATTAAATTATTAGTTAATATTATTTCCCTCATATTTCATAAAATATTTTGTATTTTAGGACATAAAAAATGTTACGAAAATGGGCATCATCTAAAATGAACATGTCAAAATAAATCATATAACTAAAAGTTACATATTTTTATTAAATGGTGAATATATTTTTATTATTATATATGTATATATATATATATATATATATATATTTGTTAAATGAACTACTATTATCTACATATATATATATATATATAAAGGTTTGATTATTTTTAAATAGTAACTATTTCCCTCCAAAAAAATGTTGTTTACTAAATTTGGAAATTATTTTAACATTTATGGTATCTTTTAAAGGTACAATTTAGGTAATTGAGATTGATTTATTATGGTAATATTAATTACATATATAAGTCTCTAATATCTCAAGATACACATTTCCTAAAACACTAACTTTAAGAATAAAGTGTATCATATGATTTGTATAATAATATATTTAAAGAAAACTTATAATATCTACAATTAAAAAGAAATAAACTTTTAAGCTAATTAACTTATGTAATTCGAATTACTTATTCTATATTATATAACTAGATTGTGATTTCTCCTTTGTGACTTTTTTTCTAAATTGTAGGATTTTTCCATTCTATAGTTATACTTAACATTTGCATATTTTTTTTCTTAAAACAATATGAAAATACTTTTGAGTATGTTTATATAAAAAAATATATTTAAATTTATCTTATAGAATGATTAAATTTAATATATATAAATTTAATATTTTTGGGTATATTTTTTTAATTATATTTATCTTATTTTTTTCTAAATTGTTTATTTAATATGACTTTTTACACAATAAAAATGCAACTGATGTGAAGTCAATATAGGCAAATGTTACAAATTGTTAAGTGTAACTAGGCTACTACATGAGCGAATAGAAAGGAGAAGTTCCCAAAAAATCAATTTTTCGTCACTCTGCGAACCCACTCTGCGCCATCGTCTCTGCGATCTTAAAAAACCCATCGTCTCTCCATAATCTTGCCTCCGCCGGTGATGTCGAGGTCGGAATCGTAGCCTCCATCGACTAACCGGCCCACCCTTACTGCTATTTCCTTCTCCTAGCTGAGGTACCGCGGTTTCTTGCTCTAACCCTAGGTGGTCGACGGGTCAAATCGGGATGGGGCTTCCTCAATCGGGGCTTGGGTGGATCGTCAGACATGGTGACGAGGTCGAATCCGGGTTGGGGGGGTTTTCAACCTGCATTTTTCGGTCGGCTTTCGGGGTCTTTTTTCTGTCTGTGCAGGTTGGACGGGAGGAGGGCTGCTGTGTCGACATTGGGGTCGAGGTTGTGGTGGTGGTCGGAAGGCTGGGCCTCCGACGGTCTCCGTGCTGCCTTTTGGGGGCGGTGGTGTGGCTGTCGGAGGTGGGTTCAGGCGACTGGTGGGTCTTTTCCCCATTTTCCCTCTTTGGGGTTGATTGGGTACCGGGACTCCTGGGTTCGGCTAGTGGTGTTAGGTGGGCCTGGGTTGTTCCGGTTGGGGCTGCTAGCTCTCCGGTTCTCTTAGTTGGTGGTGGACTGACTCTTGGCATGGTTCGGGGGCGGAGGTTCAGTTTCTGTATAGGCAGTTGCTGCAGTTTCAGGGTTGTTCCTTGTGCTAGGGGCCGTGTCGGGTGTAAGTTGTTGCTGCGGATCTTCACTCGTTCGATCATCTGGTGGAGGGCCTTAATATAGTTTACTTATTAGTTTTTTCATGTGTTTTGTTTCCTTATGTGTTTTAGGTTTTGGTTTGGGGCTGATTTACATGCTAGGCAGTGTGCAGTGGCATTGTATTTCATTCTCCTTTTATTTGGTGTTTGCTGAGTTGTTGTAGACCGCCATTGGCGTGTCCTCTCACTTTCTTATTCCTGTTGTTCTAGGCGTGTTTTTGGTTTGGGTTATTTGACCCCAGTCACATTACCCTGTTGGGGTCTTTTCTTATTACTCTTTTGGGGTCTGTTAGTTTGTAATTTTGCACTTTTGTGCCCTTTTATAGTACATCTATCGTTTTGGCAAAAAAAAAAAAAATACTACATGAGCGAATTATTTATTCCATATATTTAAGTATAACTATATGGGCAGATATTAATAAATAATTGTTAAATACAAATAGATTGTGATTTCTCCTTAATAACTTTTTTTTCTAAATTGTAGACTTTTTTTATTCTATAGTTATACTTAACATTTGTATATTTTTTTCTTAAGACTATAAAAAAATATTTTTGGGTATATTTATATAAATATTTTTTATTAAGATAATATATAATTCCAATGGTCTGTGTCTTTCTTAATTTGGATTGATAAATAATTTTGATATTTATTTATAAAGATAGTTAGAATTAATTTTAAATTTCTATGTGTGATATGAATGTAAAATAAAAAATTGTCAAAAAATAATTAATTTGATAATTCATATCAAATAAACGGGCTACATATAAAAAAGTAGTTATCATTTAAAGTATGAATATAATAAATTATGGTAGTTAATAAATGAAATAAACAAGAATAAATAATATGAATTCCCTATGGTGAGATTTGATTTTGAGAAAACAAAAATGAAAAATATAAATGTATATTACCAAAATTGGGAATAAACTATTTATGTGAAGTACCAAACATAAATTCAAAGCAATATTATTTATGCAAACCGAATTACAAATCACATCATTTTAATCCATGTTTTAAATACCGGTTCGTACCGGCCGGTATTACCGGTAATACCGGATACCGGTGGTCCGACCGGTACATTTACACTCAAAATACCGTTTTGGCCAGAATACCGGTTTCGTACCGGAAAATACCGGTTTTACCGGCAAATACCGACCAAAATACCGGTCAAAATACCGGTTTATGCCATTTTTTTTTAAAAAAAAAATATTTTTAATAAATTTTTATTATTTTATTTATATAAATTGTAATTTCTACACTTAACTTTAATATGTTTATATTGTTATTAGATGTTAATTTATTTTAGTATTAATTAAAGTTAGTTTTGTATATTATTTATATAATAATAACAAATTAATTTAATATTTATTAAAACCGGTAAAATAGACGGTAATACCGGTCGTACCGGTAATACCGCATACCGGTCGCTACACCGGTATGACGACCGGTACGGTTTTTAAAACATTGATTTTAATATGTCAACATCCGAAGCGTTCGAACTTGCCACTTAGACTTAGAACGTTCTGAAATTATAGGGGATAAGAGAAATTAAATCTGCTTAATTTCTATATATTATTAACAAAATCTATCTAAATATAATTGTAATTTTAAAGTGAACAACAAAATTATTGTAAATAATAAAAATATGCCATTTTAGGTAATGGTTAATATAAAATATAATTCTATTGCTATATAAATGATTAAGATAGATAAAATACATTTTTATGTTCTGTATTTGTCTATTTGGTAATCGAATTTGTACATGACTATATATATTATCTCAGTTTTACATTAATATAGCATTTCACTTTAAAAATCATTCAATCACAAAATTCAGACATCTTAAAATTAATTTAGTATCTAAGAGAAAAAAAAAATAAATTGACACTTATTTTGATATGGATATGATGTAAAACGTAAAAGTTCTGTACTAATTTCAATAGACATGCTTTATGTAATTTTGCACAAATAATCTCATATAACATACTACCTCCTTTTTTAAATAAATGTCGTTTTGACTTTTTTTGATTCATCCATTTTGCTATGTATCTAGACAGTGGCGGAACATCATGGAGTGCCTGTCCTTCTTTTCTCATCGGTTTGAGTGAAAGTCTAAGTTGAATTGTCTCCTTTTTTAAATAAATGTCGTTTTGACTTTTTTTGATTCATCCATTTTGCTATGTATCTAGACATTAATATGTCTAGATACATAGCAAAATGGATGAATCAAAAAGTCAAAACGACATTTATTTAAAAAAGGAGGGAGTATGAAATAAATTAATATAGGGAGGAGGGGAGCATTACATATTGATTTCATATTTTAATTTATTATTATTATTTAATAAGCATTTGTAATTTATTAGTATCAATGAATATA